TATACGATATACTTGTAGTTTTTAAGAAAGTCTTAGTTGTGACAATTTGTCAAATAACTTGGCAAAATCTAAAAAAACTACATCAGTCCACTGTTTTTTCGAGAGTATTGTCATGACTTCATCTAATGTTTTTAATAAATTAGTAACACAACCTTTATTGCAAACAATTCTGTGTTATTGTTTAACTATGAGTTTATTTGAGTAGAGATTATAGCTGTGTCCTTTATGATTTGCTCCAAAACCTTACATGGAATTGAATACTGGACAATAGTTTGATGAGTTACTACAATTACCACTCTTATGTAACAGTGTCACATTGGCTAATCTCTACATATTGGGATAACTTTTTTATGTAAAGAGATTGAGAGTATCATAAAAAGTGGATTGGAAAGTTCTATCTTACATGCTTTTATTGCCCAAGGGTGAACTCTATCAACCCCTGGAGATTTGTTAATGTCCAAGATGAATAGACGTTTAGTAATATCTTTAATGGACAGCGTTGGAATCTTTATATTTGCTGATGTATTGTTGCTAACGTTTGTTCCAGAGTTTAATACATTTGGTATTAGTCATATTACTTATTGACTTTGATGCTGTTTGCTTCAGTTCACATAACCATATAATTGCTTTTTATTTGATTTGTCATGTCTAATAGATTTTTCATAATCTTTTTGCACTGCTTTATAATTGTTGACAATGGATATAATTTTTGAATGAGTTTGCTGTATTAATATACAGAGTTTTTTTTTTTAGGTATGTAGTTTCCAGCAAAGTATTAGGTTCCAACAAATTGATACATGAAATTGTTCAGTGTTATAACTTAGCGATGGTTTTGACTTTACGTAAAAAACTCTATCCATGGACTCTGATGGAATAAAATCAAGGTAATTGCAACAATTACCTCTTGAATTAATGTCGAACAAAAATGTTCTTGCGATCTCTTTGTCACAACTTTGCATTTGCAGATACAGCACTAATGAGAGCTGTATTAGCTTGTAATCCAGGTTTGGCTAAAGCTGCTGTAAAATTAAGTAAGTACTTTGTACTCTTACTATTAGCAAAAACATTTACACAAACTCTTTTTCTTCCAGTGTTTTGACTCTCAACTTTAAGTCGTTGATTAATATGTCTTTATCAATATATTATTAATACATACTTTATCAATATTTAATATCCAAATTATCAATCCTCTCCATTAGTACAATTTTAACTTTATTAATAGCTATTAGAATTAGTTCTTTTATCTTCTTTCCCTGGTTTAACCCAAGCGCCATTTGAACTTTGATAGGAGGACAACCATTTTTATTAGTGGATTACTTTCTCTTTGTGAGTTATTTAATATATTATTAGTTACCTTATTAGCGCAAATAAAACTGTCAGTTTTTTGTGTTTTTTTGTTGTGTATATTTTGTTAGCTTTTGTGTTTTTTGTATTTATTATATATATTTTTTGTATATATATATATATATTTTTTGTATAATATATATATATATATATATATATATATATATATATATATATATATATATATATATATATATATATATGTATGTATGTATATACTGACACATTTTTAAAAACTTATAGAAAAATAACATAAAACAATTGGTGTAAAACTTGAAATAAAATCGCTGTTATTACTATTATTGTTATTGGTGCGATTGCATAATTGCGAAAATGTCTCTTAAAAAAAAACTTCTTGAAAATTGGGATTTTCTCAGCAATTTTAGGGATTTTCTCTGCAACTTGCTTGTAAAATTCATTTCTCAAAATTTGCAAATAATGTTTTGCAATACGTTCCAACAACAGCAAATAATATATAAAAAGTTAGCAAGAAATAAAGTACAATCTAAAAAAATAATAAACTTGTTTGGTTTAACACCCACAAATACTATTTCTTTAAAAGATTTGCCCTTTTTGGCTGAAAAGTTAAATTACTTATTAAGTCTTACTGCAAACTTTACTTCAAGTAGTACATGTGCTTAGTCAACAAAAATATTGAGAAGCCGTCTACCTTAAATACTTTCAAATTTTGATCAATTATGGATATTACGGTAAGTCTTTAAGTTATTGTTTATCTTTTTTTGTTTAGTATTTTATATCAACTGAATTACATGATCATGTTGACAAAAATCATTTTTTACTTATCTACTATCTTTTCCTTTATTAAAAGACCTTCTCTGAAATATAAGTTAAATAAAAAAAATGTTTTATGAATATAACAAACTGGTACTAGAAACTTATTTATCAAGGAAATTAGATTTCTTTAATTTACTGCCTGCTTTTATTTAAAATGTAAATTAAATACATTTAATAACAAGAATTTTTTTTTATTGCAACAAACAATACTAGAAATTTAAAAATCAAGAAAACTGGAATCACTGCTTACTTGAATTTAAAACGTAAAATTTAAATGTTTGAATGAACCATAGTCATAACATTTTATGGACCTCAAAGTGTTTGAGGTCAGAAAAAAATTACTGAACTCGTTTCTATGTTTTATGGTTAGACCTTTGTATCAAATAAATTTTGCCAACCTGATGCCTACCTCAAAAAGATTGAGGTTGGCAAATTATTGCCAACCTCATTTTTCCAAATTTGAGGATTGTATATATATATATATATATATATTATATATATATATATATATATATATATATATATATATATATATATATATATATATATATATATATATATATGTATATATATATATATATATGTATATATATATATATATATATATATATATATATATATATATATATATATATATATATATATATATATATATTATATATATATATATATATATATATATATATATATATATATATATATATATAAGGCATGCTATCAGAAAAATCTGCCCACCGTTCTTGATCAAAAAAGGTTGAGAGAAATCTTAAATATATTTAAATCAATATATTTCTGAAAAATTAAGACTGTAAAGATTACATATTAATAGGGAAAAAACAAAAAAAATTAAGTTTTACAGAAAATTCTGACTTTCTTTTTGATGCCTCCCATAAGTTTCTGAACAGAGTGATTTTTGTAAGTTTTAGCAGCATAATCCCATTTTTTCTTCAAACCTGTAGCTGATTTTACTGTTTTTCCACTTAATTTCAATTTCTTTGTTATGATGGCCCAATATTTTTCAATAGGATGTAATTCGGGGCAGTTTGGAGGATTCATCTTTTTCGGAACCAACATCACTCCATTATCATCGTAAAACTTTTGAGCATCTTTTGAGTAATGTATTGTGGCTAAATCAGGCCAAAACAATACTGAAGTACTTCTATGAGCTTTAATTAGTTGATTTATATGAGAAAGACAACATTTCACGTATTCCGAAGATTTCATTGTGCCCAAACAAACATGAATTGGTGATTTTTTGACGCATGAGCAAAGTACCTGCCAAATTATGAATTTTTTCAAAAATTTATCAATCATTACATACTTGTATTTATCACTCACATTTCCTCTTATTTTAGAAGCATAGTAGCACTGCCTAGGAACTTGTTTAAAATCCATTTTAACATAAGTTTCATCATCCATCAAAATGCATCCATTATATTTTGTTAACAAGTTGTCATATAACTTTTGAGCTTGACTCTTTGCAGTTGAATTTTGTTTATTTTTGCGATTTGGCATTTTAACTACTTCAAAACTTTGATATCCAAGTCTCTGTCGCCATTTGTGTACAAAAAATTGGAAACCTTCAGTTTTTTTTTGCTCAAAATCTATCAGACCTATCAGGATGTTCTTCCAATGAAGTCTCCAACCGTTCGAAAGCTCTAGGATTTGCTTTGCGTTTTTTTCGACCACTTCCTTGTTTTCTCTGAATAGTTTTCTGCTCTATAAACCGTTTAAAAACAGTATCTACAATTCTTCTTAATATTTTTAATGATTTCGCCAACTTTCTATTCAATAAAGTTGGATTTTTCCATAGATGAGTATTTGACTTTATGAAAATCCCGGAAAATTTTTTTAAATGAAAATCCCGGAAAATCATTTTAGTAAAACTTGATCGTATGAAATGAAAACAAAAACTTTCGTAAACTTTTAAAACGAAATTTAGATTTTTTAACTTTTTACAAAAATGAATTTCTAATATTCGAAAAAGTTAATTTGAATTAATTGAAAAAAAAAAAGAAGAAAAAAATTGTTACGAAAATTGATCTCGTGAAAAATTTAACTATAGAAAACATATTTGTTTAAATGCAAAAGTTGTCGTTTTAAAAATTTTATGTGAAAATATAATTTTTTTTTCAAATTAATAATAAAAAACATCCGGGAAATTCTGGAAAATTAAAGCAGTTTTGAATGAATTTCCTGAATTCCGGGAATTCCCAGAAAAAACTCATTTATGTTTTTTAAGTGTTTGTCTACAATCAAAAATCTTTGTTTAGTTTGCTCGGTTGACATTTTGAAACTAAATAATATTTTTAATTATTTCTTTCTGCTAAAATGTTTTATTATACAAATACTACCACACACAAAAAAATAATTTCAAAAAACGACGGGTAACTAGCTTTACCACACCGCAAAAGGTGGGCAGATTTTTTCGATAGCATGTTTTATATTGATGAAGAGACAAGTTGTTGAAAAAAAAATTAGATGCCCTCATACTAATTTGTTATTGCTCTGTTCTTTAAGAACATCGAATACTCTATTTGTAGATACACTAACATAATTTTTATATATATATATATATATATATATATATATATATATATATATATATATATATATATATATATATATATATATATATATATATATACATATATATATATACATATATATATATATATATATATATATATATATATATATATATATATATATATATATATATATATATATATATACATATACATATATATATATATATATATATATATATATATATATATATATATATATATATATATATATATATATATACATATATGTAATTATATTTGAAAATAAATTTTGTTAATAATAAAAATTACACAATCAATCAGTTGTTCTGTTTTATCTTTCTCAAGCTTAGTAATGGTTTCATGTAAATTAACAATCATTTTCTTCTGATCAGATTCATTTCTTTGAAGAATATTAATTTGATCTTTGAGAGCAGTGTTTTCTTCCTGTGAGCAAAATATAATACAAAATTAAGTATTATACTTACTAAACTTCCTTCTAACTTGAATTTTTTTTTTAATTTATAAATCTGAATTTATGAAACTTGTGAGGGAAAAAAACTGCTGCCATAGTGATGTTCTTTCTCATTTGGGGACAGTAGATATATTTATAGATATTTGCAGCATTTAAATAAGAAATTTTTAAAAATTGAGATTCAATGTACAAAATTATTTTACAAACTATAAAATTAAATTTTAAATTAAAATTAATTTCGAAAATAAATTATTTGTATGTTTATTATTTTTATTTTACATATATTAACAAAAAAATAAAAATGAAGTCGATTACGTTTCTTGTTTTTTTAGCTGTGCTGAGGATTTAAGTGTCTTTTTTTTTTCCTAATTTAAAAACTCAAATGTTACACCTAGTTATTGGTAACAGATTTGATAAAATTGATTCTATTCAAATATCAACAAATTGTAAAAGACTTCTTACATTTATAGATAATCATAGTAAACCCTTAAAAAAAATAACAGTTACTAGAAAACATTGATAATAAAAAGACCTGATCAAAATTATTTATACATAAAACAACCAATGAGTTTTATATTGTCTATTTCATTTTTTAATTAGCATTTTTTACTATCAAATTAAACTAATAATTATTTTTATCAAAATTAATAATAATACAAAGATTTTCTATAATGCAGTACCTAACATAAGCAATATGACAGAACTTTAATATGTAAACTATTAATATGTAAAGGGAATTTTAACATGTAAAATTTTATGAGCTGCTTTTTTTATAAACTATTTTAAAGCTGTTTACGCTAACTGCAAATATAATTAATTATAATTTATAGTCAAGAAAAATAATATTTTAAATTAAATTTTTATTGATTAGTCATCCTCAGTGTAATGCAAATGATAATATGAAAACATTTCGTTAACAAAATACACATATAAATAAAATCTTGGACACTTAGAGATGCAAATGATGATTGGTGTCTTATTTTAATAAAACAATTATGCATATTTAACTCTACAATTCATTTAAATTTCATTTTAAAACTTTTCTCTTCCTTCACCTTTACCACATTTCATTAGGCCATTTACCATTACATCATCTTGTTTATTAACTATACTAACTCACATCTACATTCCAAAATATTTACCTTGTTTAGTCTATTCAATGCACAATTTTTATCTTACAAATATTAACTATTTATCCTATAAATTCCACCCTTCCTATAAATTGTAACACTTAATATAAATTCTTTCTCAATCTATATGATCAAGCATAAATTATTTGCTGAAACAATTTTCATAATAACCTGAATATTAACAGCTTCTTTAATAAACTGAAAATCAAAAGAAGATAAATAGCACCAACTAGAGCAATGTATCAACTTTAAAAAAATTTCAACTTTTTTTAAATTCTATTTCAGGTGCCCCAAGAAGTCCTTATGGTCTCATCACAGAGCACCGCAGATTGGCATTTAATAGGAAGTGCACGCCTCCTCCCTAACCAATGTCGCAAAACTTGCCCAAAGGTGGTGTTTGAACGACGGTTCCTTTGTTTCTAAGGCAAGTGCACTAGCACTGCACTACGGCTGCATTTAAACAATTCTTTAATCTATGACTTTAACTAATAACTTTAATTTAACCTTTCTAACTTTGTGATTTAAACAAGTTTAGGGTTGCTATTTTGTTTTCCACTTTTGGTGCAAAAATATTATTTGACTCATTAACATGCTGCATATTTTTGGTGATAAAAAAACCTAGGTAACTTTTAGACCTTATAGGAGTTTAGACAATAGAGCAAATAAAGACTTACTACCTATATTTGCCTAATAAAGATTACAGGTATGGGTCTTGGTCAAATTTTTTAATCTATATCTTTAACCAACAACCTATTTATTAACCAATATAAATGGGAATAACAAAGAAATACCTGACATTTTTTTAAAAGATTCTCAATATCTAATCTTGACTTTTTTTCTCTGTTATATACTTCTTTAAGTTTTTCAGTCACAGCAACAGCCCCATCTTGAAATTTTTTATCTTCAATTACTAAATAAACATATAAATTGTAAAGTTTAGTGACAAACTATTTATAATGGAATGGTTCTCAATATTTATTTTGAAATAAAAACAAAAATACAAATTTAAAAGGATTTAAGCTGTGAACAAGATAAAGTAAAACTTGGAGTATAATGTAATGCTAAAAATATAATTCAATTTAATTATCTGTTTACTTCTTTCTTGAAACTTCTTCATGTTTTCCATAAGTTTACTTGATGCTTGCTCAGCTTTCCATCTTCTTTCTCTCTCTGTATTTACCTCCTGCATTAATGCCTGAAACCAGAATAACTTTGTACTTGCAACAAAATAAAAGTTTATTTTATGAAATCTTAAATCATTGAATTATCCCTAAAATATTATCTATACTTTTGGTTTATACAAAAATTTGTCAAAAATTTTTGGTTTATACAAAAATTTATACAAAAATTTTTATTCAAGAACAAATTAAAAACTACTTGCCAAACAAGTCTCATCTTCTTGTGGACTTCTAACATATTTATGTGTTTTTAAATTCTTTTCTTGAACTTTAATGGTTCTCTTCTCATTTATTGATCTTTTTGCTTTAAAAAAAAAAGAAAAATTATGTAACATTTACATAAAATGTAACTTAGCAACATCTGAAAACAAAAAATATAGTAGTAATAAAATTAATTCAGTATAATTTGATAGCTTAGTGTCAAAAAAATGTCAACACAAAAATTTCATTTTTTAAGATATTATTGTTACAAACAATTATGTGTCAGAGACCTTAAAGTCTCCTATTAAAACAAAGGAGGTTAGCTTGAAATGTAAGTATGTAATTGCCAAACTAAGTTAGTGTCAAAAAACTCCATCACATTTTCTGATACTTTGAAATGAAATTTTGCAGATGATGTTGTTAGACACTAAGCTCTTAAAGTACTCTAACAAAACAGTAATTCAGCTGTTTAAAAATCTTTAAAAAATCATTAATGCATTACTTTTTTTATTATCATTTCCCAACTTTTTTTTTATTATGCACTTTTCAGGAAAGGTAACAGACTTGTTTTTGTTTTTTTTAATACACTTTTTTCCATCATTTTCGCCTAGAAAATTATTTAGTTTAAAACTTTCTTCAGTTCCTTCATTCACAGAGTCTGATTCATAGATATCGTGAGAAGGAGGAACAATAATTTCTTTTAAATTCTAAACAAAACAAAAATTAAACAGAGATTGTTAAAAAAACTACTGAATTTCAAGAGATTCAAGACACTAAATGAGAATAGATAGTTGAATGATCACAATTTCACTACTAGAGATGAGTGATAGATAAAATAATAGATAAAAAATCTAACAATTAATTTTTTTGAGTTACACAGAATTATATTCAACTATGTGATTACAAAATCATATTTTTAAAAACCTAAATCTAATTAAAATATCTCTCTAAACTATTTTTGAAAAAAGGTTTCGGGAGGTCTCTGACTAACTAACTCAATCAAAATCAAAATATTAATAATAATAATAATAATAAAGAGAATTCATTTTTCTACAAAACAAAAAGATGTAAAAAATTGTTAAGTTATCACTATATACATACAACAACAAAACTTCAACTATTTTTGTTTTTTGCTTTCAGTTGATGGAAGACTTAAAAAACTGAAAATTGTGGTCTTTTAAGAATGAATAATTATTTTTGAGCAGTTTTTTGAAATATGATAAAATGAAAAACAACTGAAGCTGATGCAAGTCAGAGATGCAAATTTTAATAATGGAGCGATGCCTCAAGTTTAACAGGTAGCGTTTACAGGAGTGAAATGCGTTACAGGAGTTACAGGAGCAGGAATGTATACAGTTACAGAACAATAGTTACAGGAGCAGGAATGCGTTTACAACATAATTTTGAATTGCATTGTAAATGCAGTTCATAGTATACCAGCATAACATGTCTAAATATGACAACAGTATTTCATACAAGAAAAAATAAGAGATTTTAAAAAGTTAAAAATGGAGTAGTAAGAAAAGGACAAAAATAATAGGCAACTGTAGTAGATGTTAACTTTGCAACGGATTGGGTATGTTTTTTTTTTTAATTAAATTCTTTGAAAAACTTTCTCAGGTGCAATAAATAAGAGCTTATGAAGAAAACAAACACATCAAACACTATCAAAAAACCTTTTTTTTTTAACTTTTTTCAGTTCCTTTATTCACTGTGAATGAAGGAACTGAAAAAAGAATCATAGAATCATAACTTTATTAGATTCAAGAGATGATCACAGAATCGTTAATCATTATTCAATAGATAAAATGGAGAAAAAGTTCTTTGCAAATAGTTCTGCCTTATCTTTAGGAGAAGTAAAAAGATCAGATGAGAAATGGAATGCAATACTCCCCTTGAAGATTTTCCAAAAGACATTGAAATTTAATTTTTGAGATAAAATAGAAAACTTTGTATTCTGAGAATAATGGACCAGACAATAACTTTTTGCTTCAACTTCTTGCAGTTATAGAAAGGGAGTCAGTTCTCAAGAGAGAACTGTACTCATAAAAAAGAAAAAAGAAACAATTACAATTATGAATAATGATAAGAAAAAGAAAACCATGAAGTAGAAATAAAATTTGACTTAAAATCAACAAGAAGAAACAAAAGCTCTCGTACCTGCCTGAAACAAAGAGATCATGGGGCACAGTTAGACACAAATTTTAATGGAGAACCCATCATTAAAAAAAAAAAAAAAAAAGGAACCCCACTCAGCTATAAGGTATTAGTAAAAAGTGCAACGATGAAGGGTGAAAATGATGCAAAAGAAATTCAAAAAAAAAACATTTTAGTAAGATCATAGGTCTGAAATGCCTAAATAAGAACAAGGTTAAACTGACCACAAGCTAAAGTCACTGACAAAGTGTAAATCAAGGAGTGAAGGTAGGTAATTAGTCAAAAAGTTTACTATCTGAGTAAGAGATTGAAATGGAGCGAAATTTTGTACTTTAGTGCTAGCAAGAACAGTGGCACTAAAACCAAGCTATTCAGTGTATTGAGCATTAAAGTTACCAATAACAACAATATTGGCTGATGGATAATAAGAAAAGAACAATTTAATCAAATGAAACATTAAAATGGGGGCAGCCTCAGGAAAAAAAAACACAACAAAGTAAAAAGAAATAAAGAAATAGTATATATATTTGTTTATTTGAAAAGATATATATATACAAATATATATCTTTTCAAATAAACAAATATATATATATATATATATATATATATATATATATATATATATATATATATATATATATATATATATATATATATATATACACACATATATATATATTTATACATTTGAAATTGTGAGTGCCTGTTTTTGGTCTTTGCTTATTTATTTCGCATATAAGAGGTTTCAAACAATTTTTTATATAATATTTGCTAGTAATTGTGTCTCTCTTTTCAACATAACCCAAATAAACAACACCTGTTGTTTTGAAGAAGATGCAGAACATGGTTTTTGGCTAAAACCTTTGGCATCTTACTATAGTTTATGGACTTTCACCATCACCGACCCAACTAGCGTTAGCTGACTTGTGTCCAACTTGTCTCAAATAAAACCACGACACATTCCCTGTAACAATATCACATAACCTCCATGGGCTGTTTCTAAAATTTCCTTACATGCCTCAACTCTATTGTTTCGATTTTGATCGGTTAATTCGTGGGGTATCCAACATGATGTTAGTTTTCTTTTTTTAAGTGCGTTTTGAATGATTTTGTTGATTTTAAAACGATCAATTGATGTCAGGGCTTCAATTATATCATGTGTTGCATGCGGATGTTCTTCAATAATGGCTCGCAAACGTTCAATATTCTCAGCTGTATACGTGGTTTGAAAGTACCCTGAGCAAGGATCATCTTCAAGACTCTTTCTACCATCTTTAAATAAAGTAGCCCATTTGGCAACTGTACTATATTTGGAGCTTGGTCACCATGAACTAAAACCAATTCATCGGTTATGGCTTGTGCTGAATATAGAGCACAAATTTTAATATACGCTCAATATTCAAGTTTTTCCATTTTAAATTTTTTCTTTCAAACGTATATAATAAAATTTAAATAACTTTTTAATTAACATTCAAAATATTTAAACAAATACTTAAAACGCTCATAATTAAACACAGTTCAAGATGATATATAAATATTTAATTATTTCCTGTTTTATTGTAACTTTATAGATGAAGTTCTACAAACTTCTCTAACAACCTAAGTAGTAATTTTTCCTTCACACTTTTAATGTTTGTGCTTGATTGCACTGCTTATCCCACAGAATTTCCACTTTGTTTAAAACTCCGAAACAATAAAAAAATAAAAAAAAATACTTATACCGGACCTTGTTTTAAAGTGTCACGTTATAAATACAAATGAGCCTTTTAAACAATTTTTTTTAATGTTTTGCTATAAATGCACTTTAGCATGCCCTTATATAAAAAAAAAAAAATGCGGACTGTTTTTTAGGCCTAAGTATATAAAATTTTATGATGAGTTTTTCGGCATATCCTCACTTACCATAAAAATTAACAAATAAGAAATTAAGTTGATCAAGTTAACTTTTGATTCGTCATTCTATTATGCAAAGCCATTCATTCAAAACCTTAAAAAAAATTATTTTCTTATCAACTTTAGGTATTTTTTAGTGCTTTATAAGATTTGTCATTATCTTTAAATCATTATCTTTAAGATTGTCATTATCTTTTTGTTATGAATATCTGCCCATTTATGATTATTTTTTAATATTTATATTACAAAATATTTTCGTTATATTCATAATATAAACATTTTAATTATATTTATAATATAAAATATATTTTTTACATTCATATAGTTTAAACTAAACGACTGTTTGCAACAATATAAACGATTGTTTAGTAAAAACATTTAAAATTGACAAAAACACGAAAAGTTATCATTTATTCAAAGCTTTTAAAATTCAAAGTTTATTTGAAATTGAAAAAAACACGCAATTTTGATCAAAGTATCATTCATTCAAAGTTTAACTGCAAAAATATTTTTTCTCCCACATTCTACGCAGTAAAAAAGCTACTCAATGAAAGAGTTACAGTTTTGGTTTTGGTTACCAAAAAGAAATGAAAAAAAAAATTTTTAAAAAAAAACGAAAAAAGAAAAATTTGTAACTTTTAAGAAAATATTTGTTGATTGAAACTTTAACGCAAGAAAATTTATTTGAAAAACAAATAAAATACTGTTTATTACTGTTTTTAAAAATAAAATACTGTTTGTAATTAAAATTTTTCTTTTGTAAACTTTTACTTTATTATTAGCGGATATTTTAGATCCTGATTTCCTTTTAAAAGAAATAATTTTCGGTCGCTTTTTCCCGCATCCATTTTATGATTATTTTTATACTTTTTATACAATTTTATTACAATACTTCTAAAACTTATTTTCTAAACATTTTAAACAAAAACAATTTTATTTTACTTAAAGCAAATGGATGTTATGATGCATAAATTATGACATTTTATGAAGTCAACATTCTTTCTTCCAATCATAAACTCACATTATTTACTATTTTTCAAAATTTTTTCACATAAAATTGTTTCTAAACAATAATGCAAATTTATTAAAAAATTCATTCATTCAAAAAAATTCGATTCATTAAAAAATGTTTATTAACAGGTAATAAACTTTTTGTTTATACAAATTTTGTAATACCTTTTTAACCAATGTTTTAATTTTTGTGTTGATGTTTTTACTTTTGTCATTTTAGGTTTTTGGTGACATTTGTTTTAGAATGTTTTTGAATTTTTTAATATAAAGTTGCTTTGCCGATCAAACTTGATCATCCAGAATTGATTTTGGGAGATCAAAAGATCATTTTTTCCAAAAGTAGATGTTCATTGATCGTTGATTGGCCGATATTTCGAGCGCTGTTATATATATATATATATATATATATATATATATATATATATATATATATATATATATATATATATATATATATATATATTAAATATAAATCTTTAAGATTATTACTTAATTTATTCAAATAATTTTTTTATAACAAATTTTACAGAAAACGACAGTTAATAAATGTTTTTTTTGAAGTTAACTTGTTATAATAAAAATGCAATAAATAAAAAAAATCATTATTTAAAAAAAAATAAATGAAGTATGATTATTACTTATTAATATTTATGATTAATACTGATTATTGAATCCTTTGACCAAGTTTGCTACATCAGTACACACAGAGACTATTACTAACACCAAGTTCCAGATAATATAGGGCTGCCAACTAGATAATACAAATTTTCCCACTAGACATAACAAAGTTGCCATAACAACTAAATTACTTTTGCAACCAATTTTTTTTTATACATCAGAACAATAAAGATTAAACATTGGAAATTTAAAAATGACGAAATTTATAAATGGAAAAACTGTTTAAATATTCAAATTTTAATATAAAAACAAATGTAATAAAATAAGCATTTACCCTGTAAAAGGAACATATTTGTGTAAGTGCAACACAAAATATTAAGTTTTCTTTCTTTAATAATATAGCAGATTCACTAACAATTATTGGAAAAATATCAAGAAAAATTATGAAATTAAAGACTCTTGAGATATGGTGGCAGCAAGACAATAATTTTGCCCATCCACATATCTCAACAATTTAAATTCTTTAAAAAAAATTTTAATAAAAAAGGTAAATTCTAGTAGCCCTATAAAAATGATAATAACCAATAAGAATAAATTAATAAAGTTTAAAAGCTAAAGTCTAAAATCTAACTTGACTGCTCTAGACTACTATTGGAATATTACTATTGGAAATATTGAGTATAGTAAAACAATCAACAAAAATATTCAGGAATTTAAGGTCAAAATCCATAAAAAAAAAGTTATTTAATTAAAAAAAGTTTTTATAATGGAAATTTAAACATTTCTTATATTGGTTTTAACAGATTTTAAGTTTTTAAAAAAAACAAGTGTCTAACTAACAACCATGTTGGGTACAACAAAACATTCTGATTTTGGAAAATTACATTTTCATAAAATGCATATTAAAACTATGTAATTCTAACTATAAACAATAATTTCAGGTTAAATTTTTTTGAAAATTGAAAATTAGTAATACTTTTATATTTTAGTTTTATTTTGTGTTAAATTACATTTTTAAAACATATTTTCAAAAACTGCTGTTAAACATGGTTGATATTTAAAAATTATGATTTGTTTTCTGGTAAGGAACTTTGAAAGCTTTAAAACGCAAAATTATTTACTTTTACTTTTTATTTTGTATTTTAAGACAAGGTAGTTTTAGTATTGTTTTATTTCTTAAGTGAGAGCCATATAAAACAAGGAAGAGTATTTTAAGTTGATAAAAAGTATGAATACAACAATAATACAAGAATCAACAAACCTCTCTCTTTACACAAAGATCAACAAGAGTATGCAATTTATCTTCTATTGAATCTAATCTTTCTGTGACTATATTAGCTTCTTGAGAGATCTACAATTTTAATATTTAGTAAACATAAAAAACTTCATATTCTTTGTAAATGCAATTTACTTTAATACAAAAAAACTTTTCTAATACAAAAATTTTGTTTCAAACTAAAAATAAATAAATTTTAAGCTATTACAATTTTAGGATGGACTATGGGTGTATGTTATCATAATTTTAGGATGGACCATGGTTGTTTGTTATTACAATTTTAGGATACACTATGCAGATAAGTTATCACAATTTTAGGATGCACCATGCACTTAAGTTATCAAAAAGGATGCACCATGTGAAGACCAGATTTTGAAGCATCTATTTGAATCATTTTGTTTAAATTTCATACTACTTGTCTGGTGCATTTTACAAAAATATAAAATTAAATAATTTTTTTTCTTTTCCTAACAGTCTTCAATAATCTAAGCTCAAACCACAAGCTTTGACATGGAAGGCCATGGAACAAAAACACACATTGAGCATGCTACTACCAAGAATATAACAAGGATTCTAGTAAAATATTTAGTAAACATTTTAAAATAAAAATGACCTCATCATTTAAAATGTCTTTTGAATCCATTTTGTTTCTTTGTTTGTGCTTTAATAAAGCAAAATCAATTTTCGGTGTAACTATGTTTTCAATCCCAAATTTCTAAATAAAATATATATAAGAACTATGATTCATAGTATAATATAAAAATATAGTGTTTCTATTTAATAACAAAATTTTCTGATATACATCAATTCACAATTAAAAGCACCAAGTTTAGTTAAATCAACACATTGTCCATAAATTATACAAACTAAATAAATTATACTAACCACTTAAATTATACAAACCAAATAATTTATACTAACTGTATAAATTAAAGTCACCACATAAATTATGGTAATCTCATAAATTATAATAAAGCAAAATAATCACATTAGAAATTTACATTTTCTTTAGATTGCTCACGCGGTTGTTGGACAGAAGTTGATAATTGTGGAACAGAATCAGATGATTGTGGAACAGGAGCAGATAACTGTTGAACAGAAGTAGATGATTGTTGAATAGAATTTGATGATTGTCGAACAGAAGCAGATGATTGTACAATAGAAGTAGAAGATGTCTCTAATAGTTCTAAATACTCACCAAGACCTTTAAAAAAAAATATTACAATAAATTTTAACTTTATCCAGTCATAACAATTGTTTTGTATTGTATTACATTTAACAACTACTAAACCTGAGTAATAATATCTAATAAAAAAATATTAGATATTAATACTAAAAATAATAAATAATAAATATTAGATTATCACTTATTAGATTACATATATTTGGTAAAAAATTCAATATAGGATTAATTTTTTTTTAAATGTTATTCACTTCTTCAAGGCCTAGAGGGCTACTACAGTCAAGGAAGTTAATTTTTGTGGTTATAACCTTCTCTCAACTCTTTAACTCCAAAACACAAACCTTAACAAAAAAGGCAAATGCAAGGAGAAAAAAGTTGAGTGTGGTACGACCAGAGACAGGGAATCAAACTTGGAATTTCTTGCTTATGAAGCAAACTAAGCTACCACTACACCACATTGCAATTACTGTAATGTATATGAAAAATTTATTACAACAAAACTATGTTTACACCTATTAACACATTGTTTTAATTATCCAATATATTAACATCAGTATATATTTCAATTGTATTAATTATCAATAAATATATTTTTATCAATAATTATCAATAAATATATTAATTATCAAAAAATACATTTATGAAAATTTTATTGACTTTAAACTAAGTTAGTCTATTCAATAATCTGTACCATCTTACAATATAGTTTTCAAAAAATTATTGTTATACCTGCCTGTTATGGTATTATGGTGTTAAAATGATTGCTATGCCTGTAAAAAAAACTTTTATTAATCATCCACCTTAAAAAAATTTTAACTTGAATAAAAATTTGAATTAATTTTTAAATGTAGACACAAAAACAAACAAAATAAATATAACTTGAATTGTTGCATCTTTAATTTAGCTTATTTTAGCATACTAAAAAACCTTAACTAGATTATACTGAACAAATATTTAATTTTTTTACTCATTCTTATTTTGATAGTATTATATACTATCAAAATAAGAATGAGTAAAAAAATATATACTAGTAAATATATAAAATATACTAGTCAAAAAATATACTAGTCAATGCCCCCCCCCCCCCCCTCACACACACACACTTTTTTTTTTTAAACTCAATGATATAAAGGAGCTTTTTTTTTGATAAAAGAGAATTCTAAAGCACTGATGTTTGAGAAAATAAACTAAATAATTTTTTTTTTTTTTGAGAAAAGCTTTATAAGAGGAACCAACCCAAATATGACAACAGTATTCAATACAAGAATGAATAAGGGATTTATAGAGGTAGAAAATAGAATTAGAAATAACGATATTAGCAAGCAAGATAAAGAGAGACAAAATAAGGAGATGCTAAAAAAAATTAAAATGGATTGTATATTGGTTTGCATTAATGGTCAGTAGTGAATAATAACCCAAGATCCTATAAAAAAAATCATTAAAAACAACAAAATAAAAAATATTTAATCAAGTCATTTTTAATCAAGAATGTAGTATATAATTGCGTAATCATCATAATGTATATAATCATCAGCAAAACAAAAGACTTTGCGTAGAAGATTTATTGGGAAATAGTTTGAGAGGAATGAGCAATATCTTCAGTTTTTAAAAATTAAAAGTTGTCATTTGCCAGCAGTAAGTAAAACAAGATTCAGGTTAGCACTTATTAAATACTTTAGAAAGAATTGAAGAATTTTCTACAGAACATTTCTGTAAGACGGTGATAAAAATTTCATGACCTCAAGCTGTAGAATAGTTTATATGGGAAATAACTTTAGCAACAAAAGCAAGAATGATTTGGATGTCTAACAAGAGATATATAGGATGACAGGAAGAGTGTGATTATTAAATTTAAGAGATAAGTTAAAAGCAAAGTTCAATGCAAATAGTTCAATTCTATATATTGGAAAGATATTAAAAAGATACATTTAAGCAAACATTTTTGTAGTGGATTTACAATGAAACTATATAGGCATTTTAATTGATTTATTGGAATTTCGCTCATCGGTTACTTAGTGGATCATTAGCGGCATCTGCTATAAGTGGCCGGCCAATAACTTTCTAATATGTGGTATAGTGGCTAGTTGATGACTTTTGGCAGCTATATATATATATATATATATATATATATATATATATATATATATATATATATATATATATATATATATATATACATATATATATATATATATATATATATATATATATATATATATATATATATATATATATATATGTATATATATATATATATATATATATATATATATATATATATATATATATATATATATATATATATATATATATATATATATATATAATAACTTTCTAATATGTGGTATATATGGTATAATATGTGGCCAATAACTTTCTAATATGTGGTATAGTGGCTAGTTGATGACTTTTGGCAGCTATATATATATATATCTATATATATATATATATATATATATATATATATATATATATATATATATATATATATATATATATATATATATATATATATATATATCATTCCACAAATTTAACATTGTATTATTTAATAGTCTTTTTTGTTTTTTCACTTTGTTTCTTGTTATTGTTTCTTTTTAGCCAGTAGTAAGCCTACTGGAACTATCTTTTTCTAAAAAATTCCTAACTTCCATTTCAAGTTTTTGTATTTTCAGTACATTTGAGGGCTGATTCAAGTTGTATGGTAAGATATATCTTGAAGTAAGATTGTTGAGATTTTTTTGAAGTCTGTACTTCTTTATTATCTTTCCGGTTAATACCCTGGCAAAATCCTGTTTTTGTCAATACAACTCTCAGTAGAAAAATTTGATTGTACTTGTGTCTTTAACACTTCTCTAAAAAGCAAGCTTTTCTTTACTTCCTTCAAGCATTTTTTTAACCACCTTTTGAGAGGTATTATCTATTGCATAATGCTGTCTGTAGGATTTTCTGATTGTATTTATCACCTCTTTGCTTTCACAAATTGTTTTTTTCTTCTAATTTTTGGATTTTTTTCTTTGGCCCATCTCTATATTTTCTACGAACTTTTAGCCGCTTCTTTTTCTGGAACTGGATTCCTGACTAGGACCAAGAAGTACATTTATGCTTATTTCATTTTCGATAGGAATATCTACAGTTGGGCTTTCAGGTGGTGTAGACAAACTTTCAAAAAGTTGTTGTCTCTTCTTTTTCATTTCCCTACTTCTCTTGGTCCTTTCTTTCCAACCTTTTCTTACTGATCTTTTATCCCTATCTGAAAATTCATGAATTTTCTTTCGTGTTGATTTTTTTCTATCTCTATCTTTCCGTTTTTGTTCTTCATATTTGTCCGGGTTTTCGGCTTTCATCTTCTCCCTCGCTTTCCGCATACTTAACTTTTTCAATTCTCTAATTTTTTCTATCTTTCCTATTTTTGTTAACTGTAAGAAAAGAAAAAATTACAACTATCTGAATAGAAATATTTATCTTTTCAATAATAATTAATTAGCTATATAAGCAAAGTTTTTAAACGTTAAAAATGCTAAAATTAGGCATTAGAAAATTCAGGTACAGGTATATTTGTTATTTGTTGTAACATGCGTTCTATGTGTGTCACGTCTGTTGCTTTCTGACATCCACAGACGTGACAAATTGAATGAAAAACCCTAAAAGGAGTGCTATGTTTTGAGGCTAGGACTCTGTTCCCCTTGGAGTAAATATGTCTAGAAAATTGCTATTAAACAAAAGTATTGCTTATAAAAAAGTAAAATTATTTACCCTGAGTATGTTTGGAATTAATAACTCTATTAACAGACGTGATATTTAAGGTGGTGACAAGTGCTTCAATTACATAAAAGTTACTTTAAAAATATGTTTTGAAGAAAATAGTATGTCAACTCTAATTTTGATGTATTCTTAATTATTTATTATATATTAAAATAAAAGTAAAGTACTAGCAACAAGGTTTAAACTTCTTGGGATAAGCAAAAAGTCTGGGTGGTGACATTCCACGGACGTGACTTGTCACAGTCTGTGGAACATTATTTATTCACTGAAAATGCTATTTCGGATTGGTTTTCATCAGTTTAACATTGTATTTTCTGTATATTTGTTATTTGCACTGGTTTAAAGTATTAACTTGAAAAAAATAGTATTAACTTGAAAAAAAAATTTTATATATATATATATATATATATATATATATATATATATATATATATATATATATATATATATATATATATATATATATATTATATATATATATATATATTTATATATATATATATATATATATATATATATATATATATATATATATATATAAATTTTATATATATATATATATTTATATATATATATATATAAAATTTTATATATATATATATATATATATATATATATATATATATTATATATATATATATATATATATATATATTTATATATATATATATATATATATATATATATATATATATATATATATATATATATATATATATATATATATATATATAAATTTTATATATATATATATATTTATATATATATATATATAAAATTTTATATATATATATATATATATATATATATATAAATATATATATATATATATATATATATATATATATATATATTTAAAGTATTAACTTGAAATAAATAGTATTAACTTGAAAAAAATTTATATATATATATATATATCAGGCTTGGTCGGGAAGCGGGAGCGATCGCTCTCGAATACTGACCACGGAAATTATATTTAGTTGCGTAAAACTGGCCAGGTTTTTTAGTCGTTTTGAGAACATTTAAGTTTAGGTACGAAACAAAAAAATTTTGTTTTACGGACATACATGGAAACATAAAAAACTTGAATGTTCTCAAAACATCTTTGTGCGAAAGAATAAAAAGAATGTTTGCGAACACTAAAAACCCGCCAAATTAACGAACAAATTAATTCTATTGGTTCAAAAAATACGCTGATTAAGTGAAATAAAGTTCTGGATTATTCTGTTAAAATGTTTTAGAAATTGTATTATTCACGATTTGTTACGTTTTGAGATTTTTAGCATTGTTTTAAGAATTTATATTATTTGTTTACGAAAATAAATGTTTTAAATATATATTAGTTAAATTGTTAAAATTTTCAAAGTTTATTATAAATCATAGATTTTATTAGTATATTCTTATTTTTTATTTTAAAAGAGATTGTATTCTTTAAGTAAATGTAATTTTGTGTATTTATTTTTTATCGTAATGTATCTTTTAAAGCAATTTTTATGATTTAAAGAAAGACTTACAAAAATAATTGTGTTTTTAATGAAGTTTTAATCCTTAAAGTTAATAAAACTAATTATGTAACAAACATATAAGAAGTTTCTGGTTACTAAACACAAACAACGCATACAAAGTAACTCGCGGATGAACAAGCATCGCGCCAGAGGTCACGACAGAACACAAATATATATAGCAAATAATTTACTAACTCTAATTATTTTTGCTTAAGTTGCCATTCTTAAAACTCGTTATACTTTTTTCTGCTTTAAACACTAATTAAAATTTAAAAGCCCACTCACTAAACATCATCAGCGATATTGTGAAGCAGTTTCGCTTCCTGGTCATTAAGTATTTTAAACCTTTTTAGTTGATTTCTATCTTGATAATTTAATTCTTATAGTAATTCAATGATCTAATTATTTCATTTGTTTATCTTACTAAGAAGAATCGCTTTAAATATGTTAAACTTTTCAAACTACGCGAAACATAAAATAGGTATTGAAAAAGTTAACTTTTTTATTTATAAAATAAATTAAGCTTAAGTAAAACTAAAACTTGCAAACTTAGTTAAATAAAGAATATTTGTTTTCCTTTTAAACAATCTTTTAAGTTGACGGTTGTATGTTTCTATAAAAAGTTGATGTTTCTATAAAAAACATTGCTTAATTTTATAAAAAAAATTATAAAAGAGCGATGTTTCGAAAATATTTGTTTTAAATGTAGTTTATTTAGCTTTAAATTTTTTCGCGTTTAAAGATATTTTCTTTGCCTACTTTTTTTTTTTTTGTAATTGTCTCTCGTCGGTCCAATTAATCTTCGTCACTTTTTTTTTTTTTGCTTTTTAAAATGTTCTCAAAACGACTAAAAAATCTGGCCAGCTTTTCGCAACTAAATATTATTTACGTGGTCAGCAATCGAGAGCGATCGCTCCCGCTTCCCGACCAAGCCTGATATATATATATATATATATATATATATATATATATATATATATATATATATATATATATATATATATATATATATATATATATATATATATATATATGAGTACTATTTTGTAAAACTAAATCGCTTTACAATTTAGGATATTATCCAAATATAATTAACTATATAATTAAACAATTAAAAAGTTGTTACATGCAATTAAAATATAAAACTACCTGGTATATTATTGTCATCTTCAACGACTACATTACCCAACTTATCTAGTCCGTCTAAACTATTTATCCAAGGCATCTGCGAAACAAGAACTGAACGATAACCTGGTACAAAACAAACTGGGTTTGTAGCATTATTCAACTGAAGCCTTATAACAGTAAGAGTTTTGCAAAAACAAAGAGAAGACACTACATGTTTTAGTGACGTTAGATTATTTCCAAACAAATCAAGATATTGTAACCTATGCGTTTTTTCAGTGAAACATTCCAAACCAGATATGTGAGAAATCTTATTGTATGATAAATCAATGTGAACTAGATTTCTAAAAAATAATTATACATAATATCTTTTTTTTATCTCAATTTATAACTGAAAATCAAAATTTCTTATAACAATCATAAAACACTTATAGAATTTTTATATAGATACTATTATTTATTTACCTCAATGCTTCTAAACCTTCTACTTTTGTGATGCTGTTGCAAGAAAGATTTAAAACTGCTAAGGAGGAGCATTGCTCTAAAGAAGATATTTTAGTGATACAGTTTGAGGACAAGTCCAATTGCTTAAGAAACTTTAAATGAGACAAATTCTCTATCTGCCTAATCTGATTCCCATGCAAACTTAAACAATATAATGTTGATGGCAATTCTAGAAGATCAAGACTTTTGATTCCAGCATTATTGAAACTAAGTTCATGTGTCCTAAAAGCCATTAACTAAAATGTTCATAGCTGTTTAAAAAATATCTTTAGGCAAACAAATACTTATATCCAATTACCTATAAACAAATAAAAAAAATTAATGGATTATATATAGGTGGAGTTTTTTTTTCAATTTATACAAGTTTTGATTTTTTATTAATTTAATCTAATTGAATGAACTCATCTACATTTAACTATATTTAACAGCAAGTTAGCAAAATATAAAAACATAAAATGTTTAAAATGTTAAAATTAAACATAAAAATGTTCAAATAATAAGGCTTTGCAAAAAATTGCGATAATTGGAGTTGGGAACAAAAAAGCCCATTGACTTTATCCTCTCTTCACCCCAAACAAGTGGGACAACAAGTTGATAAAAATTTTTTTTGTACTATTTTCAACTAGACTTATATTCATAGATAAATTTTAAATTTCATAGGGTTATTTCTCAGCATTTATAAATTATGACCATACAAAGTTTAAACCACCTAATTTGAGTTATGCCATAACTCAAATTCCTTAAAAAATTATGACCATATTTTATGGTCATTGTAAAGAATAACCAAATTAATTATGTTGGCTCAAAAGAGCTATAATTATACTAGTCTATATAAAAATAAAACAATACATTAAGTTTATAGAGTATCATACTAAACATATATATATATATATATATATATATATATATATATATATATATATATATATATATATATATTTATATATATTTTCCATATTCCATATTATCATAACATTCACCCTCCTCTTAGAAGTGTTCAGGTGTATTTATAAGTTGAGTTTTTCTGGTACTTTAGAAATTCGTGAAGATCTACGAGGAGCCAGAGTACTTTGCTCTATAGGATTTACTCTGCTTTCTAGTTCCTTTTTGGAGACTAACGGAGTTTCATTGCTACCATTAGGGGTTAAGGGGTAGTTATCAATAGCTATTATTTCTAAATTGTCATTTGATGTTTGTACTATAGGAGTTGTTCCGATAGGAGCCAGCTGTTTTGTAGACACTGTGGTCTCATGACCATTAGGAAATCTCACAATGGCATAATGAGGATTTGCTTCAATGAGCTGAGCCTCATTTACTGAATCTTCATATTTACTTTGCATTGCATTTCTTTTTATAAGTACAGGTCCTGGGTTAACAAGCCATGAAGGAATTAAAGACCCAGATGATGATCTTTTTTGAAAATTAAAAAAACGTTCATGTGGACTACAATTAGTAGAAGTACATAATAGAGATCTTGTAGCATGAAGTGCATCAGGTAAAACTCTTTTCCATGATGATACAGGCATATTTCGAGATTTCAAAGTAAGTAATATCGCCTTCCAAATAATTCCATTGTATCTTTCAACTTGCTCATTTCCAGTTGGATTGTAAAGGGTTGTTTTACTAGTTGCGATCCCTTTTGATAAGAACCAGTGCTTTAATTCAGAAGACATTAATGAGGATCCACGATCCGAATAAACATAGCTAGGCATACCAAACATTGAAAAAAGTTCAGCTAAACAGTTTATTATTGTCTGAGTTGTCATATCTTTCACAGGATAAGCAAATGGAAAACGTGAGTATTCACCTACAATTGTTAGCATATACTGTTTAGGGGTTGAAGAAGGTAATGGGCCTTTGAAATCAATAGATATACGTTCGAATGGCTGAGTCGCCTTAATCAGGTGCACATCATTTGGACGGTAGTACTTGGGTTTTATTTCTTTACATATTCTACAATCCCTACATATTTGTTTTACATCTTCTACTGAATAAGGGAAGTTTCTTGATCGAATAAAATGATGGTAGCGAGTAACACCAGGGTGGCAAAGTGCAGCATGCAAACTTATTGCTGCACATTTAACTCGAGTAAATGTATCTGGACCACTATTACATTGGCCAGGACGATCATCGATATCATAAGAATATGGAGACAAAGCTATTCTCCAACGCATTATTTTATCATTCTTTATTTTACTGCTTGATTTATAATCATACATATATGCCACAGATCGTTGGTCAGTGATAAGAATGAAATGTAGACCCAAAAGAAAATGACCCAAAAGAAAATGATTTATGGCTTCAACTATCACTTGAGCTTCTTTCTCCACTGATGAATAGTATTGTTCACTCTCTTGTAGGGTACGTGAATGGAAGGCAGCAGGTCTTCCATCCTGATTAAGTGTGGCGGATATGGCAAAATCAGAAGCATCAGTCTCCACAGTAAAAGGTATATTGAACAAGCTCATTTTTTAATGTTTCAAATGCTGATATTTGTTGCTGATTGAGTGGAAATTGAGTAACAGAGTTTAAAGGTCTAATTTTATCTGAAAATTTTCTTATACATTTTGCATAGTACAAAAACATTCCAATATTCCGCTGTAAAGACTTTGCATTATCAGGTGGGGTAAATTAATGAGAGGAGCAAGTTTCTGAGGATTTGGTTTTAAAGAGCCATACGATATACGGTAACCTAAAAAATCTAAAGTCTTAGTTAAAAATACACACTTCTCTTCATTAAATGTAATTCCAACATCAATGGCAGCTAATCTGAACTTAAGTAGATTTTCATCATGTTCTTTCTGACTATTACCGCATATTGTAATGTTATCAATGAAAGGAAAGCAGTCAGTTAGTTTATATTTTCTAACAAAGTCATCTATTTTGCATTGGAAGCATGCAGATCCATTGGTAACTTCAAAAGGCATTCTAGTATATTGCCACAACTTATTGTCAGCTTCAAAAGCAGTATATGGTCAATCTTTTTTTGATAAAGGGATTTGGTAGTATGCTGAGCAAAGGTCAAGAGTACTATAAATTTTGTATTTAGAAATTATATTCACAATCGTTTCAATCTTAGGTAGAGGATATGCATCTAATTGAGTATACTTATTAAAAGTTTCAGAGTAATCAACAACCATGCGATGTTTAGTCTTTTCATTTACTACTAAGACCTGGGCACGCCAAGGTGAATTACTAGGCTCTATTATTGCTGCTTGTGTCAGGCGGTGGATTTCAGATTTAATAAATTCTTTATCTCTTTGAGAATAATTTCTAGATCTAGTGGCAATCGGTTGACAATCTTGCGTGAAATTAGCAAATAATTCAGGAGGTTCAGTTTTCATTGTTGTTAAAACAGCGAATGTTATGGGTGGTCTTTTCCCACCATACTTAATAGTAATACTTTCATGCAACTCTTGAAAATCTGTGCCAAGAATAACATCTACACATAAGTTATCCAGCACATGCAACTTGACTTTGTTATAGATTTTGTTTTGAAGAGTTATTGAGACATAACAATATCCATCTGATTTTGCAGATAAGGCAGCTGATGCCATTCCAATTACACTCTGTTCATAAATAATATTTAAATTGAGTAGAGTCACTAGTTTGTTGCTTATAAAACTTTTGTTTGTACTCCCACTATCAATTAATGCTTCTGCTTTATACTTATCATTAATAATGATGTTATGACAAACTCTGAATAGAGAGTCTGCTGAAGCTGATATGGTGGCACAGAAGTAATCATCATCAATTTTAGGAATAGCAGCAGAAATATTAGATGATCTGCAAAGTTTTTCAAAATGACCAATCTTTTTACATTTGTGACAGATAGCTTCGTGAGCAGGACATTTAGTACGTGGATGTCTTATGTTTCCACAAAACCAGCACAATTGTTTTGATTTTGCTGTAGCAGCTAAGTGATTATCAGTCATGGACTGTTTTTGCAAAGGTGATTTGATTTCCTGAATAGAGGCAGAGGTAGGTATAGTCAATTGTGAGTATAAGTTTGAATTTTTTTTGGCCACGCCTAAAGATCTAGCTTGGTCAAAGGCTGATGAAAGGTCTAATATTTTATTTTCTAGTAAACGTTGGCGTATACTATTGGAGAGTAAGCCATTTATAAACTCATCACGAATCATTTCAGATTTATATTGCTCAGCAGTAACAGCAGTGAACTTACAGTCCTTAGATAAATTTTTAAGTTCATTGAGGAATTGATCTATTGTTTTACTTGGTTTTTGCTTCCGTGTTGAAAAAAATGTGTCTGGCAAATATTTCATTCTTTGGTTTTATGTAGATAGACTCGAGAATACTTGTTGCTTGTTCAAAATCATCACACTCTGATATGAATTCATATACATTAGGTTCAATATGGTTTATTAGGAGATTAAGATTAATGGAGTTATCATCAACTGTACTTACAAAATTGTAAAATGTTCTTAACCAATGGTTGTATGTTTTTGCTGCATCTGCTGAGTTCAGATCTATACCAAGTCTGTCAGGTTTCATGAATCGATCCATCTTTTTTTTTTTTTTTTTAATTTATTTCATAATCATATTTTAGCTCTTTTAATTGTAAAGAATAACCAAATTAATTATGTTGGCTAAAAAGAGCTATAATTATACTAGTCTATAACAAAATAACACAATACATAAAGTATATAAAGTATCATACAAAACATATATATATTTATATATATTTTCCACATTCCATATTACCATAACAGTCATAATTTTTGAATGCTGAGAGATAATACTGAATGAAACTAAAAATTTATCGATAAATATAAATCTAGTCAAAAATAGTACAAAAAAACTTTTACGAACTTGTTGCCCCTCTCGTTTGGGGTGGGGGAAGGGGTTGAAGAAGTAGTCAAAGGACTTTTTTGTTCCCAGCCTCCAATCACCACAATTATTTGCAAAGTCTCCTTATTTGACATGGATATAAACAAACAAATGTTAGGAGTTTGCTCATTGTCTGGAAACTAGCATTCTCAAACACCAAAAATTCCTGGATCCGTCACTGCTCTAATTATACAGGCTATAAACATTGAATAAAATATTAGGTTTACATATAGTAATCAATCAATCAATCAATCAATCAATCAATCAATCAATATATTTTCGCTTTAATAATACTGTATATATATACAATTGTGCGGGACATTTACAAACAGTTATGAACTGATGGCGTGTAAAGACCTATAATGGTATAAATAATAACATAATAATAATAATAATAATAATAATAATAATAATAATAATAATAATAATAATAATAATAATAATAATAATAATAAATAACAATAATAATAGAAATAAATATTAATAATAATAATATTAATAATAATATTAATGCAGTAATATAAAACACTTTAATCAATATATATTTCACTACTATAATCAAAATAAAACATTTATAGCAAATAGTGATTATCCTTAATAATAAAGCAAAATAAAAATATAAGAATCTTAATAATATCAATAACAAAAAATAGGACAGATAAAAAATAGAAAAAAAAAAAAAAAAAAAAAAAAAATGAAGAGAATTAAGCAGGGGCGATTGCATAGGAAATAGTAATTAGAGAAGAATAGCAAGGAAAAAGTAAAAAGTAATTCTTCTGGAAAAAAATTGTTTTTGTTATAAAAATTCTTAATTACTTTTCACTGCATCTTATTCACTTTTTATTTTTTTATTTTTTTTTTTATTTTTGCTATATACATGTTTTTTTTAAATTCTTACTTTGTTGGTTGAAAATATTTTTGTTGTTTTTAAAACTGCCGCGCCGAATAAAAGAGCTGAAAAAAAAAGTCTCAAGGGTAAATTTTACACATTTAATAACTACTTTAAAGGGTTTTTTTTAACTTTAAGTTCTGATCAACCAGAGCATAGTTTTACCTTTCCTAGAGAGGCTGAAAACTTCCTAGAGGAAGTTAAAAATATATACGTCATTTTAATAACCATAAAGTATGTAATTTAATTTACCCCAAAACTCACTCTCAAAACAACTGCAACACCTACCGTTGCTGGAAACACCATTGCTTGGAACGTTGTAGTCGCCAAGAGGTTAAAAACAACACCAAAAGACCAAGAACAAATGAATATTTTCAACACAATAGCCCTCGAATCAAAACATCGAGAAAATAGAGCTAAGAACTTAATTACACGTGGTGCCATAAAATCTTCCAGTACCGATCCATCAATTGCAAAAGTTCAGGACAGAGCTGAAGTAGAAAAAATATTTTTATTATTGGGGACATTCAAGTCTTTAATTGTAAATCATTTCCGCCTAAAACTTAATGTAAGGACCCCTGAACTATCTAGTCCAATAGCAGTAATCCTTACGGATGAATCAGCTAGTACTTAAACAAGTCTACATCTTTTTTCGCGTAACCAACAACAGTAGATCACAGTTCCCTATTCATCAACCCTGATATGACTTTAAATTAACAAAACCAGGCGTACCTCCTCAGATTCGAATGCAAAAAACGTAACGCCGCTCTTAGTCCAACCGCTTCAACAATCAATGTTATTCGAAGTAACACAATAAAAAAAATAACTAGACATCATTTGCCACCAATGTCAATCAAAAACCAACTAGCAACACCTCCAACAACATATTTATTATTCCAGAATGTTCCTATAAAACGTTCCGTCCAACCTATACAAATCATTATTAAAACTTTGAAACATAATTCTACGGAAGAAAATTTAAACGGACGACTAAATAAAATCAACAATTGTGCATACTTTAATGCAAGATCACTTAACAATAAACTTCACCATTTACATTATCTTCTCCAAAACGGCAATCTTGAAGTTTTATTATGACGGAAACCTGGCTTAAGAATAAAACTTTAGACTCGCTACTGTTAAATGGAAATGATTTCCAAATATTTCGTAATGGCAATTGTGGTGGCTTACTCATATTAGTGCAAAGTATCATCCATTCTGTAAAAAATAACTTTGATGTTCCTGAAAAGCTTGTAGATACTGAAATTACTTGTGTAGACATGTGTCTCCTCTAGTCTTAAAAAGTTACGCATTTAATGCATTTACCACCCCCCATGTGCAGCCTCATGTTTTTTGAAAACCAAAGCATTATGTAAAATTTATGTAAAATTTCATCAACTTTTAATCATACTTGTATAGTATCAGGCAATTTTAATCTACCACTCATTGGTTGGTCAATACCTATTAGCCTAGGTGATTCTTGTTACGACTTGTTTAAAGAAACTTGTAAGGTGAACGCCGTAACCCAGCTGGTATCAAACAGTACCCAATTAATCAACATTTTTGATCTTATATTAACCAATGATAAAATCAATGCATACAATGTAGTAACTGCAGCCCCTTTCACCAGTACCTGCGACCATTGTACTTTTCTCTTTAATTGTAATTTGGGAACCTTAATTAGCAATAAAAAACCATCATTTCCAATTTCATTTAATTTTCATTAGGCCAACTATAATAACATCAACAAAGGTACTGGTACATCAACAAAGGTACTGATACAAATTAGCTGACAACATCATAATGTTGAATCATTCTGGCACGCTATATGTAACATTTTGAATTCAAGCATTTTGTCACACGTACCAGCACTCCATAAAAATAAGATACAGTATTCAACCTCGCACACTTCGAAATTCAATATCTAAAAAACGTATTTTATACCGAAAATACAAAATAAATTTTAATTTAAATACTTTTATTAAATACAAGAATGGCTCACATCTATACGATACCGAAATAATAAAAAACGCTATTAATAAGGAGAAAGATATTGTCAATAAAGAAAATATCAACAAATTTTACTCTTTTATTAATTCAAAATCCAAGCGTCACTATTCTGTTGCACCACTTGCATGTCCTGATGGTTCTCCAAATCTCAGGATGGTTACCCTCCAATATTTTTAAAATCAATTTCAACTACCATTGCCATTCCTCTTTCTATTTTGTTCAAAATGTCAATGAGCATTAAATTTATACCTAAAATTTAGAAATCACCAATAATTTGTCCAATATTTAAGAAAGACAACTCTTCTCTACCAACCAACTACAGACCTATTTCAAAAACCTTTATCGTTTGCAAAGTTATGGAATCAATCATTACTAAAATCATAAAAAACGAACTGTTCGAAAATAAATCTATTTTTCAACATCAATTCGGTTTTATAAATCGCAGATCCACATATTCACAAATGCTGGCAACTAAACGAATGGACTACTGTGGTAAATAACAAAAATATAGCAGACATTACTATATTAGACATTACATTGACTCGGTAACTCATCCTAAACTAATGTTCAAATTGCAATACTATGGAATTAAATACGAACTATTAAATTGGATTTAAACTTTTTTAACTAATCGCTTTCAAAGTGTGTTTTGATAGGGTAGGGCGGGGCTAGTTAGGCTATTTTTACTAAATCTAACAGATCTCTTGAACGGTACATCGGATTAATATAATTTTTTTACTATTAGAAATATAATTTGATCTGCTAAAAAATGGTTGAGACGAAAAATTTTTTTTTTATTTGTTTTAGAAAATACAGTCTAAAGTTTATTAGGCTGCTCAACCTACCCCAGCGGGGTAAGTTGAGCGATTGCGTGAAGTAAGTTGAGCACTAAAAAAATGAATTCATTTCTGTGACAACTATTAACTGTTATAAAACCAAAACATAGCTTTCTTATTAATTAAATATATAGTTTCAATTTTAACAAATTATTTAAGATATGAATATCAAAACTAATAATTTTGATACTAAAATAAAAACAAAACAAAACTTTTCAATCTTAAAACTAAACACAACTTTTTTTAAACATTTTAAAACAAAACTTGTTAATATTATGATAAAATAATAACTAAACACTTTATTTTAGTCTTCAATTTCCATTTTGCAGTTAATTCAAATATAATTTTGACTAGAATGTGAATCACATTTTAAATGAGACCATAGATTGCAATATATATATATATATATATATATATATATATATATATATATATATATATATATATATATATATATATATATATATATATATATATATATATATATATATATATATATATATGTATATATATTTATATTAAAAAAAAAAGGTTCAAGATATTACCTTATAATTGTTATGAGTATTTTATAATGATTAATTTGAAAGTGTGATTGAACCTTAAAATGTTTACCAAACGAAATTTTATCTTCGCGTCTGATAGAGCCGTTTTACTAATTGTTGTCAAATCTGCTCAACTTACCCCAACTAGACAAGGCGACACATCAGTTAGGTTATAAAAAGAATTATAAGGCTTGGGGAAAAAAGTATAAGTATAATCAATGGACAAATAAATGGGTAAAATATAAACACTTAAGTGATTCCAGTTAAATGTTTTTTTAAGCATCTAAGAGAAAAATATCAAAAATATTTTTTTTACTTTTTTGATCCAAAATTGATAAAGTGTTCGTGCATGTTACTGAACCGCGGTCCAACAACCATTTGATGCGTATTTTGTTACAATTCTAAATATCTATTTTTTTATCCATTACATGTTTTGCAATGATGAGTAGTTTTTGAGATATTTTAGTTGCCTAACTTGCTTCTATGCTCAACTAGCCTCGTTCTACCCTACCTCATGTTCTGAAAACACTCAAGTTAAGAATGGAATACCACAAAGATCTGTACTAGGACCTATATTGTTTTTATTATTTGTTAACGACATAGTTTATTGCACTAATGGAGATCGTGGCATTAAGCTGTTTGCAGATGATATTAAGTTGTATCAATTGAGAAATGATTACAACAACATTGATCTTGTAAATTTTTTTTTTTATTATTTTATTTTTTATTTTTCGTCATTTGACACATTTTACAATGTTAACCTTACATTCAAATAAATTTATACAAATGCAAGCTGACTGGGGCTAGTAGAAAACAAAATGTCTTATCATCAAGCCCCTTCGTGAAAACAAAAAAAAATTTTTACAATTTCCAATAATATATAAAAGAGTGAAATTAAAAAAAGTTTAAAAAAAACAAATTAAAAACTTTGAAAAAATCAAAAAGTTGAAAAAATAATTTACAAATCCGTACATATGCGTATACATATCCAATAAACTTTATAATATATATTTAAATATACAAAAGATATTTTGAATTAAAAAAGATTCCGAACATTTTATAGATTTAAGTTATGTAATTGAAAAGTCAGACTTTTTGAGTAATGTTAGTGGGATGTAGTAATTATTTATTGAGTGTCTTGTTTTATATTTATGATTAATAAAAGAGAAGTTTTTATAAAAATATTTTGGAATTAATTCGTTTTGAAGTTTAAACATAAACAACAAGTTATGGTAGATGTTTAATTTGTATACATTTAGGGCATTTATTTCCTTGAGTAACGGCTCGGCACTTTCGTATCTATCCATGCCCGAAACTAATCGACTTGCTTGCTTTTGTTTTGTGTAAATAGTTTTTAGGAAAGATGAGTGATTGTTTTCCCAGGCAATATATAACAGTAGTTAATATGACTATGTATAAACGAAAAATATGAATTTTTTAAACATATTTTGTTCAAAAGAGGTTTAGTCTTATACATTATCCCTAAAGTCTTTGAGACTTTGTTCTCGACTAGCTTTATTTGGCTTTTCCAATTTAAATGTTCGTCAAAAATTATTCCAAGTATTTTCATTGAAAATACTCTTTTTATTTTAATATTGTATATAGTTAGTTCTGGTAGTGTAAGTGGAACATTCTCGGATTTAGATGGTTTAGCAAACAAAATGTATTTTGTTTTTTCAATATTCAACGAAAGTTTATTTGCTATAAACCACTCATTGAGATATGTTAGTTCAGTGTTTACACTACAAAAAATATTTTTAAATTTGAATCAGAATAGAAAACATTAGTGTCATCATCAAAAATAATATAATTAAGTATTTTTGATGACAAATAAATATCATTAATATAAACTAAAAACAGTAAAGGTCTAAGTATTGATCCTTGTGGAACTCCACAACTTATTGACTCAAATGGGGAGCCTGTTAAATCAAATGGTACTACTTGTTCACGATTTTCTAAATAACATTGCAGCCACTTTAAGTTAGAGTGAGCTACTCCGTAATTACATAGTT